CAAACCTGTTCAGTTCCCTGCAAAGCCCTGGGTTCACCTTGAGGAAAACAGGGGGCGTTCCTTGTGATCCTGAGGATAAAACCCCGGGATATCCCCGAGCCGGCTGTGCAGTGGCATTCCTGGGAAGCTTGTGCTGCTCTTACACAAAGTGTCCTCCTGAAGTGGCTCAGAGCACCCCCCAAAAGAGACCCACGAGGCAAAACATCACTTATTTTCTGTGGAAAGTTCAGAAAAGTTGCCCTCCCCCGAACTATTTCCCATAAAATAAATTCATCTTCCCAATTCCAGCTCCATTTTGGCATCCTGCTTTTCCTCACTCTAGCAGGTTACATTTTTTTTTTCCCCCCCTCCTCTTCTTCTTCTTCCACGGGGTAAAATGGAAAAAGCGGAAAGGATAAAAATAACCCCCAAAATAAACTTTTTCCAACGTTAAAAATCCAAACTATTCCATATAAAACAAAGCACTACTGGAGCAAAACAGAGCATTTTTCATTGAGTGTCTTGACAGAAAATATTTGATGCAAACCACCCCTGGCTTTAGAAGAATTTGAGTGTCTCACAAGGATTGTTAACCCTAATATTGTGCCAGGGAACAACTCAATTGTGTCTGTCTCCTTTGAATCCCCCCAAATGGATACATTGCTTCTCTTAATTCCTTTCCTTAGTTATTCCCAGAGCAGTGTTACAATAAACAGCTTTTTGCCCTGTCTTAGAATTAAATTCACACTACTGTAACTGGCTGAATCTTGAATAAAGTTGATGTTTTGTTGACTGGTTTTTTTGGATTTTATGTCATAAAATTCCACCAATTATCACCTACATGATGCTGCCCTTGTGAAAAGCTTTTTGAGCTAAATACAACATGAAGTTACCTGCAGTCCTTCAGAATCCAATGACACAAAGAGGACATGAAACTCCAAAAAAAACCCAAACAACAAAACCCTTTTCACAGCACAAATATTTTGGTTTTGTGCTCCACTCCTGAGCCAAGGCTTTGTTTTGGCAAAGTGCTGTAAAAACACAGGGCAAACCCCTTGCCCCACCAAGCTTTTAAATACACCAGGAAACAAGGTGAAAGGCAGGAGAAGGAGCCAGGGAAAACTAGAAAATAGCAAGTGTATTAAATGCTGTTATCACTGATAAATGGGGCAAACCCCTTGCCCCACCAAGCTTTTAATTTCACCATGAAGCAAACAGTCAAAGGCAAAATAAGGGGCCAGAGAAAACTAGAAAATAGCAAGTATATTATATACTGTTCTACATATATACTCTACTATATACTATATTTTAGTTACCACTGAGAAATTTTGAAAATACCTGGAAAATCAGCAGAAATAAAGATCCCATAAAGCTTTGTTTTAAGCAACCTGAAAACTGTCTGTCTTCTACTACTTCCAGACAGAGCATTCCGTTAGAAAATTCCCCTCATTGAGAGCAGCAATAGTTTAGTTTTTTTTAAAAAAAAACCCCAACATTGCAGCGTTTCTTGGCTTTGCTGGGGCACAGCACTGTGAGGATTTGGGAAGAGGGATCTCAGGGAGATGTGACAGGCACACTGTCTCCTGGAAGAGGAGAGAAAGCAGACTCCTCCAGCAGAGCACAGCCCTGGGCTGACCTGCCGAGCCGTCCCCAGAGCCGAGCGGATCCTCCAGCTCCAGGTCTGGTGGATACCTGGGCTGTCAGAGCAGATTCCTCACTCCAGCAGGCACTGGGAGGGATCTGCACATTGACCTTTCTCCCAGTGCAGTGAGATAATCTGAGTGTGGGGGCTCAGTGCAGCCCCCGGGCAGGGCTCAGACACTCCCCGACCTCGGGGCTCAGTTCCATCTCTACACCAGGGATTCCTGCTCCTCCAGCTGCTCCCACCCCAGTAACACCAGTATAACCCCCCCAGTTCAGCACATCTGGCTCAGCCAACCCTTAACACCAGTGTGAGGGTTCACTGCCAACAGCAGGACACCAGAAAACTGGGTGATGGGTTTGGTCCCAGGGACCTCACTGAGAGCAGGAACGTGGGGTTTTTTTGTAAAAAATCCCCAACATTGCAGCATTTCTTGGCTTTGCTGGGGCACAGCACTGCAAGGATTTGGGGAGAGGGATCCCAGGGAGATGTGACAGGGCACACTGCTGGAGAAGACCAGTCTAACCCCCCAGTTCAGCTCATCTGGGTCAGACAGCCCTCACATGCACTGGGGTGAGCGACCCTCAACACCAGTCTGAAGGTTCACTGCCAACAGCAGGACACCAGAAAGCTGGAGGACTGATTTAGTTTGGCACATCTGCTGCTCTGAATCCTAAATCCATGGGTTTCTGGAGGGCAGAGCACACACACCAGCCAGCAAGTGAAGGAAAAGTACAAACCCAGTGTCAAAACCATCATCGAAACCATCACCCACCTTTGATTACAAAAAATAGCTTTTTACTTGAATGGAAGGCTCATTAAAAATATTCATGATGGAATTGAAGGGGGTGAAAGAAAGCAGAGCAGATTTCCCACCCCTGAAAATTTAAAGCAATTCAGTAAAACTTTTAAATGTAAGCATTTGTCACTTTTTTTTTTACACAACATTCTATTATGAAGTTTTTCCACTCAGAAGTGAAGAACCACAGGTATTTCCCTCAGAAATTTCCATTTTGATGTTCAAAAATCAAATCAATTTTGACTAGCAGTGGTGTCTGAAACAATTTTGACCCGGGATGAGAATCAGATGTCACACACAGGTAACACACATAACAACATGCACCACCTTCCCCTCCTGCCTCATTCCCCCAGCCTTTACTGGCAAAGTGAGCATCTTGTCAACACTTAGAAGAGTCTTTAATCTTGTCTTGTTTTAAAAGTCTCCTTCAAACAAATTGCCTCCTGTTTCCTGTCTCCCCACATGTGCCCCAGAGAGGTAAACAGTGTAAAGGAGTGTATATATTAGCCATGCTCTTGGTATGTTTAATAATGAAACCCCAAACCAGGCAACCCTCCTTTCAAGGCTCCTCAAAAAACTTTTTTTCCCCACTCTAACCTTTCACTTCTATGGATTTTCTGCAGCTGAAAAGGTATAGAAGTGCCAATGGTGACTTTGGTTTTTTGGTGCTGATAGACTTTCTCTAGCCAGGAAATGAGTTTCCCCAGCCTCCTTGTACTCAGGGTGATCCAGGGAACCACTGTACTTCCCTCCTTTTCCCTGGAGCATGCTTCTGATATTGGGGAATGAAGCTGCACACAGAGCACAAAAGACCAAGTCACCTGTTGACAAGGCAGGTAAAGCAGAGGAAAGAAAAGGGCAATTCAATGACCAGGAAACAGAATATTCCAGGTTTTGCTCTGTCCAGTGCTTGGACAAGTCCCACAGAGAGGCTGAGAAACCTGACTCAGGTGAGGCCTTTTATTCTGCACCCCTGTGTTCCTGCCGTGGGGGAGACACTCAGATGGCAAAGATAAAAGATAAAATGATAAAGCCCACGTGTTTCATAAATAAAAGCAGCAAAGGTAAGTTGTCATTACATCACAGCCAAACCCACACCTTTCCTGTGGCAGCAGTTTATTCCCTTTGCTCCAAGCATTCAAAGTATGGGAATATTCAGCAGCTGAACAGGGTCAGAGACTGCAGTTCTCCACCAGCAACCTGCCCTTCTGCCTCCCTGATTTCCACAGATCCACTTTCCTGACCAGCCCACACATCTGGCAGAAGCTCAGCTGTCCCTAAACTTGCTGTCTCACCTCCTGGGGTGTTCTTTAAACGCCCTCCCCACCACAGGGACACACAACTGGCCAAAGCAGATGTGCAGGGGGGACAAAGTGCTGCCTGAAGGTTCTCCAGCACATCCAAGACCCATCCCATTCCCACAAACAAAACCTTTGCTGACAGCAATCTCTAGAGTAAACAGCTTTTTTTACAATTTATTCAGCAACTCTACAAATTTTATTGTGTTTCAGATGGTTAAAAAAAAAAATTAAAATCTCTCTGGTCCACATTCCACACCTGAGACTGAAGGGACTGGGCTGGCCCTGAAACATTTCATTCTGGCTGCTCAAAACCCCTGTTCTGCCCGTGCCCAGCCACAGAAATGCAGCATCCTGTGGGGCTCAGCTCCTCCCAGGGAACCAAGGACCAGCCCACTTTTCCACACCTGTATCCAGGTGCCCGGGAAGACACGGAATTCCCGGTCTTTGCCCAGGGAAGGGCGGAGCTGGGAGCTGAGGGGCTGTCAGCAGGGTGTGGGGAGCAGAGCAGAGACAGGGGCTCACTCCTCACACCCCAGAGGAGCACAAACCCAGGCTGCTCCCGAGCCAGACCGGGAGACAAACCCCCTCCCAGACCTCGGCTCTGCAAACTCTCCACAGGCTGCAGCTTTAACAGGCAGCTCTTCTCCCTTCCCTCTCCTCTAAGGTCTCCTGTTCCATTTTCCACTCCTCTCCTACTCAATCAGCCTCCACCTCTTTCCTTTCCCTTCTTTCAGCAGCCCTCTCTCTTCCCTTCCCTTTCCCCTTCACATCCCTTCTCCCATCCTTTTCTCCCCCAACTCCTCCCTCTTGCACTTCAACACATCTGTTTCTAATCTTAACCATCCATTGGAAACAATAACCCCTTTTTATTTAAAAAAAAAAAAGAACCCCCGAAAGCTGAGTGCCCAAGCAAATCAAAACAGTTACACAAATTTGACACTGCGCCTGAAACAAAGACATTTTGTTCACCTTTTTCTGCCAGAGAGGCTCAAGCCCCTCATTAGTTTATGGCTGAAAAGCAAAAACAAGAGACACACGTTCCCAAATGAGTCCATTTAACCACCAATTTTAAAATTAATCCGGATATTAAGAGATCTCTGGTGATCAACCTGCTAATAAAGCGACGAGGAAAGCATCGGAACCCAAACACTGCTGAAATTACAGTTTTCCATGAAAGTTTTTGCCTCACAAACCCCTGTCTCCAGCTCACCAGAAACGAATTTCACTCGCACAGAGGAGACCCGTGGAAGTTTGATTAAAAAAACTAAACAAAACCTACCTAAGAAGAGGATTGGAAGTGCAGACATTCCGTCTCCAAGCAAGAGGGACTTTTCCTCCCTTTTTCTTCCTTCCTTTCTCCCAGGAACAGCAGGCAGACCTGCACAGGATTCAAAGGAACGCCTCTGGAATGCACTGAGTGTAATTGCATCCATGTGCCAGAAAAATAACCAACTTCACTCTTTCTCCCCTCCTGCTATCCATCTCCTTGTCCATATTCCATCTGGATCCGGGCAGAGCTTTCAGGGCTCTGCAGCTGCTGCTTGAGGCCCGGGGAGTTTGGGGAGGAGAAGAGGCAGAGGCAGTGCAGGGACTTCACATCCACGGCGGCACAGAACAGTTTGGCTCGTGTGGAGAGGAGAGAAGCAGGAGAAAAACCACTGTGCTCAACGTTCACCACATGGCTGCCTCCCCCAAGAGCCCCTCCCTGCCATCAGCTGGGATTAATAGCCAAGACCAGTCATGTGGGTGAGGTGCAGCTCATTTCCAGCAGCAAAATATATGTTTGGTTTTTTTTTTTTGTGAAGGAGAAGCCCCAGTGTTAAAACAGTTAAGTTTGGAGGCAGTAAAAATCCAGCCTGGAAAAAATAAAAAAAAAAAAATCAGATTCGTCACTCAAGGGTTAGAAAGACACTCTTGGAAGAATCACACACACTCCTCGGATCATAAACACACAGATACATTAGCTTTGTTCTCTTTCCTAGATAATAAATTGCAGGATTAAAGCTTTTAGTCTTGCTGGAAATACTTGCTCTCTGGTTTTCTTTTAGAGTTTCTAGGAGAGAAGAAAAAAAATCCTGAAAAGGGATTTAATTTTACACTGATGAGCAAAAAGCCAAATCAAGCACTAATTGGTTGTCTACATTCAGTGGGTGCAACTCATAACTCACTCCCAAAGGGCATTTTTTAGGCAGCCTGAGAGACCTTGACAGCCCATCTTCAGCTTCACCCCAGTGCAGTCACAAAGGGGGGCAAGTTTTAAAAATCACCTCAGAAATTCCTTTCCATCGAACACAGGGGGTGGCAAATCAAACACCTTTACCCATCGTGGTGCCAAAGGGAAGCTCTGGAATACAGGACAAAAATTCTTCCCTTTAGGAGCAGTTATGAAAGTGTTTCTAAACCCTGAGAGAAAGAGCTGCCAGACTGTGCTTTGGGATATCAGACTCCAGTTTCAAGCTCTCTCCCCCCTCTGTGTAACCCCACCTACACAGAATTCCTACAGACTTCACCAGAAAATCAGGGATTGATGTTCTTTCTTTCTCTCTCCAGGGATGAAAATAAACCCTGTGCAGAGCCAGGGACTGGACTCGATGATCCTTTTGGTCCCTTCCAACTCAGAATATTCTGCTTTTTTACAAAACACAGCAATTTTTATGAAGTCCTTAATGAGGGGCACAACACTTGGAAGCTCCACAGGAATTTAGCACCTTATCTGTTCATGACAGAGCTTTGCAAGCACTTACAGAAAGACAACAAACACTGGACAAAGATCAAACCTCAGATTCCAACTGATACCAAAGACAATAACGTGGATAAAAATCACCCTTCTGCATCCAGTTTCATTAAAGTTTTATTTGCCCCTCCCAGGCTCAGATGGGAACAAGAGCAGCATTTGGCTCCTCCTCTCCAGAACAGCTGTTCTCTCTTAAAACACGATGTTTTAAGCAGCAAAGTCAAGGAGCTTTTTAGTTGTTCACCCAAGTAAATCCGTGTTCACGTTTAGTTGTTAAGCAGCAAATTTTAGGAGCTTTTTAGCTGTTGGTTTCCCCCTCAAATACATTTACTGACACTACGAGTGCTGAGCCTCTCTGAAGTGAGATTTTTTTCACCTAACATGGATGAGTGATACACAATCAGTCATTATTAGAGAATGGAACAGTTCCCACAGAGCAGCTCCACCAATCCATATTTTAAGAGCAGATTCCCTCAGAACTTTTCCCCTACACTCTTGGTCAAACCTGCTGCTGGTTTCCCAGCTGTGAGAGGGTCTGCAGACCCCATGGATTTTTAGGGCATGGATCAATGGAGATCCATGCCTTGGATCCCTCCCCCAGCCCTCCAGGAGCCAAGCAGGCACCAAGCCTGTCTCCCTGCATTAGGAGCCTGACAGAAGATGTCCCAAGCCCTGCTGCAAAATTCCCAGCACCCTGCTCAGCTTTAACAGAATCAATGCATCAGGAACCAGGAGGGGGAGAGGTGTTGTCACCCTCCAGTTGTCACCACCCTCCGTGGGAATTCTGGGAGCTGGGATGCTCTGGGAGGAGGAGGAAGAGGGTGGAGGATGCAAGAGGAGGCCATGCATGCAAAAATCTCCTCTCCATCATCTCAGACAAGTCATTCCACAGCCCTTACTTCACCTCCAGCCCCTTCAGGAAGCTCCTCAGAGCTGTGGGGGGCACAGGGGGTTCTCCCTTGGGTGTTTGGGTGTGGCAGGGACACCTCACTGCTTTGGGTGACAGTTCCCAGGAAGCAAAACAGGGACACCCCAGCACATCCTCTCCAGGCCTTGTTTGGGGCAACAGCTCCTCTCCACAGCACATCATTTTTCCAGAAGGGGTAAACTCTTCCCCATGGGTTTGGGAACACTTTGACTGCCCAAGCATGGGAGGTGCATCGTGCACTTCCCAGCAGGGAGAGCACTGAAACAGCAGCTGAGGCTTCAGATGATCAACATTAAAGAAAAACATTCCATAGAAACCCTTTATAAACTGAGTTTTTCAGGGTTCCTGCACTGGTCCTGGCAGACCCCAAGCCTGGAGTAGGTTCAAATACAACTCCTGTATTCAAACATCTGTAAAAACCCTCACGGGCCACAGAGCAACCACTTCTGTGGTGTCTTCCCTGGTGCTGTCCCACTATCATACATTTGGATGATAAATCCTTCCAGAAAACACACTCTTTTAAACCTTAAAACTTAATAAACCCACATCCCAAGAGCCTGCCCAGCACCCAGTGGCTTGTTCTTGTACCTCAACTGGTAGAAGCACATAGAGGGACCTTTTATCTAATTTCTACTGGGGTTGTTTTGTATATCAGGTTATTCCTTTCACCTCCCTCCTCCTCCTGGAGCTGGAGCTGTCCCCCAGTGCTGCAAACCCACTCCCCACCACCCAAAACACATCCAGAAGCTCTGATTTGTTCCAGAACTGTTATGACCCAGCAGGAACACAGCCCTGTGCTGGCTCTTTATTAATCCTGTTCTCCAGGACTCCCTACATAAACGTATCTCACAGTTTAAGTGATTTAAGCAGCTTTTTGATATAGTAAGTAGAAAAACCACAGTTCATGCTTCAGGAGGGCTCAAGGAGCACTTTGAATTAGGAATCTCTTGAGCAAAACCAATTGCTGTTCTGTTTTTGGATTTATAGCTGAGAGAGAGGCACAAAAATACAAGGGGAAAAACAAAACCAACACAAATAAACCAGTCTCTCAACAAAAAACATGCAATAAAGAGTGTTAGGGTAGAAAATCAAACCCTTCCCATGGATTTCTTTTCACCATAAGCCACTGGAGGAAAGGCTGCTTTATTCTGTATTGGGACCCAGACACTGCCTTGTGAAGCTGTTGTTGTTTGAGGAGCTTTCCTCTCTCAAGGAGGCTTCAATAATTGATCATAAAAGCACTATTAGTCATTTAGGATCACTAAAAAAATCTCACTTCAGAGAGGCTCAGCACTTGTAGTGTCAGTAAATGTATTTGAGGGGGAAACCAACAACTAAAAAGCTCCTTAAAACTTCAGTCCACGCAGCTCTTTACTCCAGCATTTATTTGTATTTGTTTTATGGGAAAACACCCTTGCTGTTGCCTTTTTCTGTAGCTTTATTTCCTATGTGAGCCTATAACTCAACTCAGGACATTAAATATAAACAGCTCCTCATACACAGCAACAGAATTTTTAATCCAGCAACTTTATGCTGATGCTACAAAAACAAAGAACTGAGCACAAGCTACTTGAAATATATTATTGATTTTATACCAGAAGGCAAACCAGGTCAAAACCTACAGGGTTTAATTTCTATTGCCATAAAAAGGTTTAAATATTTTTACAATACGAGGCCTTTGTTTTTAAATAAATCTCTAATGGAAAACTCCTGAGGAAAAAAAATCAACTGTTGTAAAAAATGCACAAAGAATTATAACTAAACAATAATGTCTCTTTACCTTCAGAATTCAGGGCTCTACTGACAGGAAAAACATAAAATCAGGACCCAAAGAGCCCCAAATGCTGAGTTTTATCCTGTTCCCTCAGAAAAACCTGCCAATGAAACTCCGTGCTTTGATTTCCCAACTGTGAGACTGGAAAATTGGCAAATAAAGCTTTTCTGTGTCTGCCAGGTGGGAAGAATTAGAGAGAACACTGGGACACAGGTGGGCAGTACCTGGGATTAAAGAGGGAGGGTCAGAACACATCTTAAAAAGCAGGGCAGAAACCATGGCTGGTTTTTTAGGTGGCAAAGTCATGGTAGAAAACTGCAGAAAACAATTAATGGCTTGGAGTTTTGAAGGTTTTAATTTTTTTTTAATTTTTTTTTTCTAATGTGTGCATGGTAACAATTAAAAATGTGGCAGAAAAAGCTGAATAAACTGGCTGGGAAGAAGAACTTCAGTAAAGAAAGAAGTATTTATGTGAAAATTATGGCTGGGAAAATGACTGTTTGCTGCTTTTACTGTAAGGTAAGCAAAAACCTTGGGGTTTTTAATGCTTCAGAATAACTTTATTTTAAAACAAGTACGGTTTTTATGCACTTTTATGAAGGGTTTGAGCATGTGAAGTTGTTTTTATCACAAGTGAAATACAGGAAAATAGAGATATGCTGGAGGAGGACTGAGTGAGTTTGCTTAGGAATTACTGTGCCTAAACCTGAGCTTAAGGAGGTTTGGGTGTTTGTGGGGTTTTTATTTTAAGTGTCTGTTACCTCTGAACATCAATAGTTTAGTTCTGGTGGTGCTTCTTGTCTTGGTGTAGATTTCTTTCAGAGAAGCTTTGAGGCTTTTGAGGCTCTTAATGCAGGAATAATGCTGAATATAAATTATTAAATATAGCTTAGTATTGAATTAATTGAATATCTTAATGTCACATGTAAATTGAACTTTTAAAATTACTTTTCCCAGCACGTAGTTGTTCCTCTGAGTTAGGAATGGCTTAATAATTTAGGAATGGCTTAGTAACTTGGCATGTGGGAGTTGGAGATGCCCTCAAGCCTTGCTGCTGGCCCTGTCACTGACCTGTTTTGTGAAACTCAGCACTTTTTCCTCCTCAGTTTTTCTTCTCTCCTCCTTTTACACAGCACAGTCATTGTTAACACAGCAGCTATGAGTATAAAATCTATTTTAAAACTCCTCACAGCTCATTTTTATATTGAAATATCTGTGCCCTCAAGTGCAGCA